ATACAGTTGTCCCTTGATAATCCGACAGGTATGGGACCAAAGGTGTGTCAGATTACCAAAAGTGTCCGGATTACCGAAAATAATTACATATTTCGCATTGTTTTGCTAGCAGTAACTTACAATATTCTCTACTCCAACTGTTCGAACAGAACTGCTCACATAAAACACACGAAATGTGCGTCATCGAGTAAGAATTGGATGGGGAGATTCACATCGCGACATGCTTCTGTGCAAGCAGACACGTAACAGGGACGGGTACCTTGACGGGAGGTGCGTCGGACTACTGAGCATGTCGGATTAAAAAACGTTGGACTATAGAGGGACAACTGTACATGATTAAATTCTTCATTTGGTTATATTTACTGGGTCTCAGAATGGGGATAATGGAGGTGGGTCACCCCTTAAACAACAATAAAATTATCAAATAATCAGACTTGGATAGAATTCTAACTAAAACTTCGAATATATCATAATTAAAAATAGATGAAATTTGAGGACATGCTTCTTAGTATTGTAGTTTCCTTATATTGTTTTAATTGAGAATGACTTCAATAATAATAATTACTTTTTAAGTTAAAAAAAAAGTTAAGCCAAATGAGAATTATAACCTACTAGCTGCAAGGACCCGCTTCGCTGGGTTTTTATTAGTTCGTACATTTGTATGTAATATAGTTTTTGTTTTTTATATATAAAAGACTGTTTTTCTAAGTAATCTAGAATCTTGCTGCAAGGACCCGCTTTGCTAGGTTTTTATTTGTGGGCAAAAAGTAACGATAGTGAAGATTAAGATAATTATATTATAGCCAATCTTACCCGTCTTCACAGAATGCAAGAATTAGGTCCCCCGATTCTATTTCTGAACGTCTCCTGTTCATGTCCAGTCAAATGAACTCTTTTCAACGTTTCTGGAACATTTACAATCGTTCTATAATCGAATTTTATGTTTGAATTCAAATTCGTTGAATTCGAACATAACATTCGAAATAGAAAACCACTTTCAACCACTTTCAGCCCCATATCTCCCGCACCCTTATAGCTATCGAGACGCAACCACCATAGTGCATGAATGGAGACTTGGGGCTACTACCACATACAAACACCATTCACGTGCGATGTATAGTTTTGGCGGAAAAGTGAAATATAGGGACACACACGTCCATTTATATATATAGATGAAATGTCAAAATGAAAAGTTTACATTCTACATTCCTACTCAAATAAAAATATAAATCCTGAAGATGCAAATGATAAAAATATTAAGTTTTTACAATTATAATACAGGTATCCCTCATATAACATGGTAGTCATGTTTTGAAAAATGCTGTGTTACACGAATCAAAGGACTAATGCAAAACATGGGATTTCAAAAGTAACAAAAATATACTATTCTTTTAAGAGAAATAAATTATTGAGTGCTTTGATAAACATATTTCCATTCAATAATTAACTACCAATCACAATTAAAAGTACTGTTTTATGCATTAATATTATTTTTAGTTAAACCAGGGCATTTTCTTTTTGAAAAGTATAGACATCATCTGAGATTGTTTGTTGATCTTGATCAGAAATATCAGCAACATCTTCATTTTTTTTTTATCATAAACAATTTTTATATAAATGACAAAAAATAAAAGTATGTTATTAATCGAAAGTTTGTTCTAGTGGATTGCATTTGTTCAGTTGAGGACCGAGCAATTTTTTCCAGAATTTTTTACCCTGTTCGAGTACTAGGATACCACTGTTTTGATTCATCATTTTTATGAATGATTAAAAAAAAGGTTAATAAAACTTAACTATAAATGTTTAAATAGACTTTACAAAATACAAAGATGAAAACAGTATAAACAGCACAGCAACAGTCTTAAAAGCTAAAATCTGAAAGCAACCACAACACCTGATTATAGGAAGGTTAGGACAAGGAAAAAAAATTTGCAATGTCAGTTTTCATTAAACCTGACAAAAGGCACAAAACAAACAGAAAATTTCAATATTATAAACTCAATGGGCAAATTTGAGACAATGTGTTACTTGAATAAAAAATATTGAATAATGGAGTTTGCACTTGAAAATTGTGAAATTTGGTATGGAAGATTTCCTAAATTCTCGAACTGTATTAGAGTGAAACCATGTTGTTGTACAAGGAATACCTGTATCCTGTATTTGAGAATTTGAATTATACAGAGTAATTTTTAAAAAAGAGAATGTATTTTTAGAAACCTTGAACTATAAATAAAACAATAGTTATGAAAAAGTAAATTTCAGTAATCTGTTACTATTCACCAAAAATATTGGTGAATAGTACACAACAGAGTATTTATCATCAGATATAAATTAGTATGAAATTTGAAAAATTTGATTTTATAAATTAATCATATATTTTTTATAGGTATATAGCTCTGGTAAGAGAGTTACAACAAACTTACAGAATGGAACCTGCTGGAAGTCATGGTGTTTGGAGTTTAGATGATTATCATTTCCTACCATTTATCTGGGGCAGTTCACAGTTAATAAGTATGTATATTTAAATGACTCAATTAAAACACTGTAAACATTTTAATTTCATTGTTTAAATTAACTTAGATCATCCAAAATTGGAACCAAAATCATTTACTGATAGTAGGATAGCATCTGAAAATGCTAATGAATACATGTTTATGGGATGTATAGAATTCATTAATAAGGTATGCTTTTTTAATGTTATGAAATTACAATTATAGTATTTTAAGTATTATTTTAAATTTTCAGTTACAATGAATTTAAAGTTAAATTATGAATCTTAGGACAAAGTTTCTTCATTAATTAATTGATCAGAGCTTGAAATGCTGTAAAAATATTAGAAGCCCAGACGTTTAGGGACCAGACTGGAAATGGGAACTTGTTCTAAAAGCTCAAAATTCCATTTAATATGCAATTCTTTATTGATGCACATTATCCAAATTGATATAAACTTTTGTGGTAACATGCTTGGGTTGGTTTTGATTAACCAACAAATGAAAAATGCATTTTGCTTGTATAGTAGATGTCTAAATTTTGCGATGTGTTCAGCTTGAAATGTCAAACATGGTACTGAACTATTGATAGCACAGATGTTACATATAATTGGCTGGGTGACAGTTCTTTATTTACCATGTTAAGTCTTCTGTATGGTTTCAGTAACCCAAGTTGAATTGCTGTTATATGTTAAGGCTGTTTTCAGGATCACCAATTGCTATATGAATTAAATAATTGATCAAACAATTTCTAGTTGTTTTCAATTAACAGTGAAAGATGATAAACAGAACATTATCCTGATGTTGTGAGGTCACAATCTTATAAGATATCCATACACTTTGACCATCCTGTTATTCATCTTGAAACACTAACTGTTGCTCTCCTAAACTGCATTAATTCATTTTTTATACCCTCACATTCTTCTATAAGCTTATCCTTATAACAGTTCTTCTTTGGTTTCCTAAAACACAGGAATTTCAAGTCCTGCTGATTTTGTTATTAAAATAAATTAATGTGAAAATTTAAAAAATGGTTTATTATTTACTAAATATATCAAAACCTAAACAAAACTGTTAACAAATTGTTTAATAACATGTTTGAGTGTGTATTGGTGGGTTCATATAATTAATGTAGATGTTTAAAGCTTCCAATAAGTTTTTATAGTAGAATTCTTAAATCCTATTCAATGAGCATTGTCATTCATTATATGAACATCCAAAGTGTAAAATTACAAAATTTGCTAATTAAAATTTAATAATCAGATTTCAACAATGTGTGTGACATAATGTTTGCTTGTGTTAATTCCAAAATATACTGAAATGGATTTTATTATGTTTGTAGAAATTCAATATTTTCATTACGATCATTATAATAAAGGTAAATTTATATCTAAAAATCTGAATAAGAACACATATTTAAATTTAACCATAAAATAAATACTTTAATACCATTGGTATATATTTATAGCAAAAGTTAAGAGCAATTATATTTAACTTATTTCAATATGCATTATAGAAAACTGCATTTGTGAATGAATATCCATCAGTTCCATATTTTTCTACATTAGTTATTAACAGATGATATATTGAACAGTTGAATCTAATGTGGTCCAACTGAAAACTTAATTTCTAGTTATACATTACAAAAAAAAAAACTGATTTGCTACTACTAAACATTTGTATGTGTATATACACACACACACATTATTATTTTAATATGATAGAAATTGAAGTCAGCATTAAGTACTCCAAGTTGGTCTTGTACCATGTGGGGGGGACCCAAAAATAACCGGATTTTTCATATAAAAACTTAAAGTTCTTTACAAAATTCCTTCAGTCACTTTCAAAGTACTCTCCATTAGGTGTGATGCACTTGTGAAGTCTTTTTCCCTATTGTTTGAAGCATCTCTGGAACTCTTCAACCTTGATATTGTCCAGTGCCCTTAGCGAAGCTGTTTTTACTGCCTCCACATCATCAAAATGCTTCCCTTTTAGACTTTTATTCATTCTTGGAAACAGAAAAAAGTCGCATGGGGCTAGGTCTGGTAAATATGGAGGGTGGGAAATGAGAGGCCAAATAGTGGGTCACTTGTAAGGCCATGTGTGCGGGGCATTGTTGTGATGAAGGAACCAGTCACTTGATCGCCAAAATTCTGGGCGTTTCCTTCACACGTCCTCTCGCAGATGTTTTAACACTTTTTTGGCGGATTTTTCAACGTTTTCATCATGTCAACTTTGCAGGTGGAACAAAATAACAGTAAGAGAAACACAACACTACGCTCAAACGTAAACCTACAAACTGATACCGTTTGGACAGCTATTTCGTGAAGGTCTCTACTAACCCCATGTACCAGGTTGTTCAATAAGTTTTGTCGTTCGATAAGAGGTGGCACTACTAGGAGCGTCACTTTATTATTCTATAAGTAGTACTACTATTTCATAAACACGTGTCAAGTTTCAAGTAGATCCGTCAACTCATTGTATATTTGCAGCTGTTCAAAGTCGACGTGTCATTGTATTTTTTTTACGATGGAAAAAATCGAATATCGTGCAGTGATAAAATTCTTATTTTTGGAAGGTGTAGCACCAAAACAAATTCATGAACGATTGTTAAAAGTGTATAAGGACTCTTCACCTTCAATCAGAACAGTAGAAAGATGGGTTGCTGAATTTAAACGTGGTCGTACGAGTCTTGAAGACGATCCACGTGAAGGGCGTCCAAAAAGTGCATCAACACCAGAAATCGTAGCAAAAATACAGCATATGGTTTTGGAAGATCGTCGATTAACCGAGAGAGATTTAGTAGAAGCCCTAGGGATTTCGTTAGGCAGTGTGAGCAATATTTTGGCTGAAGTTTTGGGTTACAGAAAGCTGTGTGCACAATGGGTGCCGCATTCGTTAACTATGGAACAAAAACACATTCGAATGCAACTTTCTCAGCAACATTTGGAGCGTTTTAGAAAGGATAAAAAGGATTTTGTGCGTCGTTTCATCACTATGGATGAGACATGGGTCTACCACCATGATCCTGAATCAAAACAAGAGGCTAAAGAGTGGTGTGAACCCGGTACTTCGGCTCCGAAGCGTGTTAGGGTCCAGAAATCGGCCAAGAAGGTGTTAGCATCAGTTTTTTGGGATGCAAAAGGAATTTTGTTTGTGGATTACCTCCAAACTGGTAAAACAATAAACTCAGATTATTATTGTAACCTTTTGGACCAGCTAGATGTAAAAATTCGTGAGAAAAGACCTGGTTTAAAAAAGAAAAAAATCATTTTTCATCAAGACAACGCCCCCTCTCACACAGCTCAAAAAACCATTGCGAAAATCAGTAAATTAAAATACGAATTGTTGCAACATCCTCCCTATTCGCCAGATTTAGCTCCCTCTGACTTCTGGCTGTTCTCACATCTAAAAAAATTCATGCGTGGGAAACGATTTTCATCGAACGAAGAGGTAATAGCAGCCGTGGATGCATATTTCGACAGTCTTCCCGATTCTCACTTTAGGGATGGAATCCATAAATTAGAAGATCACTGGAACAAGTGTATTGAAGTTCAGGGAGATTATATTGAATAATAAAATGTATTTCAAACCATAAAATTGTGTTTTTCTTATCGAACGACAAAACTTATTGAACAACCTGGTAACAGGAGAACTCTCTACTACGTCTACGAATGGCAGTGCACTCTCAATTCGGTTTTTTTGGTTCCCCTTGTATAGGAAATCTATACAAGACCAATTTTGAAAACAAAAGACAATAGCATCAATTCAGCTTGAAATCCTCATGAGTAATCTTTAACATTTTCAAGGTGTCCCAAAACTCTGAATGCATATGCATTCTTCATATGAAAATTTTTACATCAAACATGTGAGGTCCAGATGAATGGCTTCTAAGATTTTCAGACTTAACACCAATTGGTGTTTTTCTTGGGCCATCTGAAGTCAGAGTTTATTGGAATAGGCCCAGGACAATTCTTGCACTAAAAGATGAGATGGTCAATTTGAGCACTTTGAATCCATAGGCAAAAATGTATTTTGACTTTTGGGACACAATAAAAGAAATTGATATTTGAATTGTACAATTTTTTTGTGTATTTAAAATTATATAAGTGCAATTTTTATTCAAGGTGAAAACTGGTCCTTTTTATGAACATTCCAACACATTGTGGAATGTTAGTGGAGCTGCAAGTTGGGGAAAAGTAAATTCAGGACTCATTAAAATGTACAAAGCAGAGGTAATACTTTTGATCAATCTTTAGACATTGAAATCAGGTATTGAATAATTTGATAGAAAATTTGTTATTCTAGGTGTTATCAAAATTTCCAGTGATGCAGCATGTGGTATTTGGTTCCATTCTTCCTTTTCGACCACATCTGAGCCAGTGATTGTTTTCTGTTTGTCTTATTTAATATTAGATTGTACATAAGTCAAGAATTTGTTCTAAATAATAAAAACTTTATTGCACAAAAGAAAATTAAATATTTAAAATGACACACTATATTCCGTGTCTGAAGGTGGTCTTTCCTCAAGTTCCTGAAAAAGAAAAAAAAATTCAATCAAAATTTTAAAAATGCATTAGGGGGGATCTTCTCAGTACAATAGCCAAAGTATAACGCTAATTCATTGTGAGAACAATTTTCAGGTATGGATGATTCAAGATATTTTGCACAAAGTTGCAAGATTCACTTCTAATGTGCCTGTAAGATATTTACCTCAAGAGACTATGAATAACCATACTTTATAAGGCTGAAATTGGATAAGTGCAGCTTGCAATGTATAGCAGAGCTAGTTCCAGGTGTCACCAAACACTTGCCCTACAATGATCCTCACAAATATGAGTGAAATGTAGTATCATATTTTTTTTTTGGTTAGCTTTTCTAGAAGCCAAGACAGCAATTATTTAGTAGCACAATATCAAAAAATAATTTTTACAATTTGGTGAAAGTATTTCCAAAAATGTAATTTTGAAGAACTATTCATTAAGAGCCTGCATTTATAATTGTATACAGTTCACATGATAAAGAATGATTTTCAAAACAATCATACAATACTGAAATAATAAAATATACACTGGTGTGCAAAACTTAAGCAACAATTGTTTTTTTGCCATAGCTCTGCAAGAAATCATTTGGGAGACAGTATTTTGTACTTAAAGGATGAAGAAAGCATACTAGCACAAAAATGAATAGAACGCATACAGTATGGAATCAAAGCTTTCTTATTGTAGTCTTGCACTATGCACACTTACTGCACATGTTCTATGTGCCCTCACATCACCTGTGATGTCTTCTTCCTGAATACAAACCACCTTTCTACTGATTGCAACAATCCCTTCTCTACAATTTCATGGCTGTCTGTTTAAAAATTACATTGTTGCATAAGTTTGCACACCAGTGTAATATTGGTAATTAAATAATAACAAACTTAGCATTACAGCAATATACTCTTAGACCTACTTTGCAGTTTAAATTTATACAAAAATACTGTTACAAGTGCTTACTCAAACGATACAAATTTGCTTGCCTGTCAGCAACACAAAAACTATTTGCAGGGAAGTGCTCTATGTTGTTTATGATATTTCTAATCAATGCATTTGTTGCTAACATGTTTTAATCTATATAAATAAAAATGTAAATGTTCATTTGTTCAAAATCTTAAATCGCGGAAAGTTCTTAACCAATTGCTTTGAAATTTTGACACAATGTTGCATTCAAATAACATGCATGTTTTATATTATATAGATGTCAAAATTCCCCCTGCAGGGGAGGGGGACAAAATTAAGGCTGACTGTGAAGAACTGGTCTTCCTTTATACTATTTTAGATGTGGTGTTTTGTGTTTTAATAGCGTTATGTCAAGAGAATGTACACTAAGAAGGAATTTTTTGAAATTCCTTCCTGCAGGGAGTGTTATACATTTATAATATACATTTTGAGCCATAGCAATGCGTGGCCAGGTACAACTAGTTAATATTTATAAACCCCAAAGAGAATTTGTGGTTTTAAAAATGAAAAGTGATAATGAAATGTGAGTTCAATGTGTACACTTGGTCTTGTACTGCTGCCACACATAGGGTAATCATTTACTATAAAATGTGTCAAGAAAGCCATCTGGCTGTTAACAGCTAAAAATCATGCATAAAAGTGGAATCTTCCTTTTCTGCAAGTACTGCTGCAAAAGAGAGGTTTCAGATTGACAATGATCTTTTATTATATGGAAAAAAGACCACTAAAATTATAGAAGTTCAAAACTGTATACAACAAGGTAAATAATTTAAAGTTGAATGTTTTAAATATTGGGTTGATCAAAAAGTTTGATTTTTTTTTCATGTAAGATACCATACTGTTAATTAGTAGTAGTAGTAGTAGTATTTTATATTCAATTTAAAAGTGTTATTTGTGTTGTGAGTTTTAAAATTAACAAATATAATACTCAAAAAATTGTCCAACTTTTTGATCCACTTATTTTTAATTTGCAAAGTAGACCATAAAACAATTAACATATCAAATCCATATAACAAAATCATGTTCACTTTGTTTTTCATGTGGTCAATGAAGCAAAAATGCTTTTGGACAGAATATAGACAAGAAGAAAGGGCATATATACCAATCTTGGGCAGGTAGAAAAGTTAAGATACAATCAAAATAGTGTGGATGTTTCCCAATGCTTATTAGGTAACATATGTATATATTCTGCATAATTCTGTCATCATTTGAAAGACATTCTACTGTCACACTTGCAAAATATTTTGACAAGCTTTTATAAATTCTTAAAGTCAAAAAAGTGCCAGCCAAGTTGTCAATTTACGCAATCCAAACCAGGCTATACACACACATCTTAGAAATTTGTTAATGGCATTATTTGCTAGATAGGGTTCCTTGCTTGATACTGTAGGATATAATCAAAATTATCACCTTTTTACAAATTCCAGCAAATAATTTAATATTATAAAAACGTTTTCGATCTTTAGCGATCATCATCAGTTAAAAAGAACATTAAAAATAGAACAAAATCAAATTTACGAAAAAATAATAACTGCACATGCGTAATGATGAGTGCTTATTTTTTCGTAAATTTGATTTTGTTCTATTTTTAATGTTCTTTTTAACTGATGATGAACGCTAAAGACGATCGAAAACGTTTTTATAATAATAAATTATTTGCTGGAATTTGTAAAAAGGTGATAATTTTGATTAATTCTTTCTAGTTCCAGTACAAGTTATTATTTTTACTGTAGGATATCTTCATATCAGTAGATCCAGGGACTTGTGAATCACCCAGGAGTGTTTCTTCTTAAATATAACAACAGCATAATGCAAAATTTATTAAACAACTTATCTTTTGAGTGCACAGAAATGATAAAGATGCTGCTTGATGATCTCCAAGCACCATTTTTTGTTTAATTCATTCTCTGAGTTGCATGATTATTGTTTTAGATGAAAATATCAAACTCTTCTGAAACATCCAACATGATGTTTTGCAAAACATTTGAACTCGGCAGTTACTTGCTGTAAGAAGTGAATGAAATTACGTGAACCAAAATCAAATTTTTATTCCTGATGACATGTGAGAAGTTTACAGGAGAGCAAACATTACAGATCTTGAAGATTTTAATCTTTTAGAATGGTAGTCAGCAAAGAACTTGAAGACTTCATCACCTTGCCAGTCACAACTGCTGCAGTTTACAAAAACAATTCGTTTTCGATTGAAGGTGGACACTAATGGAAGAAAGCATTATTAACAAAATTCTGTTAATGTGAATAAAATGTGAAAAATTCTGCAAAAAACATTTCCTATTTCACTTGCCTTTGCCCATGACATAAAATTTTTTTAGACAGGAATTCAAGTCTTTAACACTGAGTCTTTTATTTACTGTATTTTCTAAATCAGATGATGGGTTGCAATGATATTTTTTAAAGTAAAAGGTCTATTCAAATATTGAAAAATACTTTATATTCTTCAATGCATGTTTAAGTGTCCAAGTCACAACACTTGCAAAATAATTAGAACAGGAATGCACAACAGTCTTGATTTGTATATCAGATGCTGTTTGTTGGTTACAATTAAAACAAACATTTTGTTCTTGATCATGTAAAAAAACAAACAACAAAAATTTCACACAGGAGCTGTTAAAATAGTGGGTTGTTCAGAAAGTAAGTTCGTTTTTTCCATGGAAAAAACACAATATTTTTATAATAAATATTTTATTGAATTATATATCAACCATTTTGGTCAAATATCTGTTGTTATCATTTCTGGTAGTAGCATGATTTCACATTCATAAAAGTTTTGATTGTTGCTTACAAAAAACTGATCCAAGTGATTTTTGACAATGTCTTACAGTTAAAAATAATTTGTATAGACCAGAACAAGTAATAATCTGAGTGTGCTTGATTGGTGAATATGGTTGGTGTGATAGCACATCCCATCTAAGTTATAACAGTTTCTGACGAGTTACCAAACTTGTGTGAAATTTGACATTATCATGGTAAAACACTATACCTGTTTTGTTGATCAATTCTGGATGCCTTTTCTGTTTGATGATATTACTCAATTTGTTTACTCGATGGCAGTACACCTTCGAATCAATTGTTAAATTACTAAATACTGAACCTGTTACCGGTGTAATTTGCATGAAAAAACTTCTTTCCACAAACGTTTTTGAGCTTCCAAATAGCTCTTCTTCAGGTAGAGAAAAAATTCCGACGAAACACTTCGAAAAATGGAACGTAGATATTTAAATAAAAAACCGAATCTAAAAATAGAACGCAGATGTTTAAACAAAAAATATGAAACTCGCATAACGAACGATCATTAAGATGGTCATGCGCATTCGTGCGCTGATGTTGCTATTTATAGATCGTTGTTTATGAGGGCCTGCCACGCTATAGAAAGATTAATCTCATCCTTCCGATTTATACATGTGGTCCGGTGGTTAGCCTTACAGATGGATATAGCTTCCCGCCATTTTAGTTGTTCCAGGTGGGGCGTAGTGTCGATGATGTCAGCTTTGTCGAACTCCGGTTCTATATCGGGATCAGATGCAAAGGTGGTTAGGGCCGTGGTGTACCGCCCATGCCGAAGGTCTGCTTGATGCTCTTGCACTCTGGTATTTAAAGATCGCTTGGTTGAGCCGATATAGACAAGGCTCTCGTTACATCTGTTATCTTTCAGCGGGATAGAGTACACGCCAGGAAGCCTGCTACGAACTGGACTGCCTTTTCCATTTCTGAGGATGTCGTAGATTGTTGGGCATCTTCTATAGGCTATTTGTAATTGTTGTTTTCCGGCGATCTCAGCGTATATCGCTTTAACATATGGGTTAAAGGTGACTGGGAGGCGTGTACGTTCATCCTGGTCAGTGTTGGTCTTCGTACGCGTAGTGGGTGCGTATTGTGAGCGTTGATGTCGCTCAATTAGACGGTGTGTTAGACCATGGTAACCGTGCTTGGCTGCTATCCTCTTGATATAATTCAATTCGGTGTTGAGGGCTTGCGTGGTGGACGAGTGGGAAAAGGCCCTTTTAATCAAAGTATTAAATGCTGCAGCCTTGTAGGTGAATGGGTCAGATGAACCTACCAGTATGTATATAGAGGCGGCATAAGGTTTACGGTATACCGACGTGACGATGGCGGATCCTTCTACTTTAATGTTTATATCCAAAAAATGGACCTCAGTATTGCTAGATTGTTCCATTTCCAGCGTTAGGCCGTAGGGATTATCGTTAACGGTTTGTACGAAATTTGAGATGTCAGGTATTGTCTTCCACATGATGAGGATGTCGTCCACATACCTCCTATAGAGTAAGATGTTCGGGAGGAACAGTGGAAGTATTTTTCGTTCAAGTTGCCTAACGACCATTTCGCATAGGTCCCCGGATACTGGGCTACCCATGGGGACTCCTCTTTTTTGTTTGTAGACTTCTCCGTCAAACGCAAAGATAGAATTATAACAGATCAGATGGGCTAATTCAATGACTTGCTGGTGTAATGCTTGTTCTTGAGTCAAATTAAGCAAAAAGTCCCTAAGGGAGCAAAAAGCTGGAGGGAGCTCCACCGATGGGTACATAGATTTAAAGTCTAGCACGGTAATATACTGCGGCGTCGAAGACAAAACCCGAAGGAGGTGGATGAGCTCAACTGGGTTATCGATGGTATACGGGTAGCCCTTGAGGTGGGGAGAAAGTAGGTTGTGAATGGCTTTCTCCAATTTTCTTGTGGGAGCTCTGATTTTATCGACTATTGGACGTAATTGTTAGCCCATTTTGTGCGTTTTGGCAAATGCAAAAAGTCTTGGTGTATCCGGAGAATCGACTATTATGTTGTCCAATGCAAGGCGTTTTGCCAATTTGGAGCTTGCAAATCTCTTAACTTTATTTTGTATTTTGTCCACCACGTTTTCATTCTCTTTTTCACATTGGGTGATATTGATGTATTCCTTTAAGCCTTGGCGGTAGGTGCTGCGTCTCATGAGGACTAACGTTTTAGATTTATCCGCCCTGGTGAGAATGATCTCGTTACGTTGCATCCACTCGCTCGTGCGTCTAAGTTTATTTCTCAGCTCGGTGACCTCAGGTTGTTCTTTAGTTTTCTTCATTCTTAGTGTGGCTAACCATCTGTAGTACTCTTTTTGTGTATCTGGTAGGCTTTTTACTAGGAGTTCCAAATCTGGAATGAGGTCCTTATACCCGCTTATAGGAGGTGGAGATGCAAAGGTCGGACCATGTTTCAATACATCCATGACGAACTTAGGAGGTTTAACGTTGTCCCATATGACAAACGGGAATGTAGGGTGTTGTCGTCTTTTTGGTACTTGAAATCTTAGTATCCAGTTCAGTTTCTTATGGTAGCGTCTTTTTAGGTTGGCACTTAGACGCTCTTGGATGGGAATTAGCCTAGTATTCTCTCTTGCCAATACGTCAAGGCCCATAAGGAATAACGAGTTTTCGGTCTCGATTAGGTCTTTGAGTCTCGAGAAAATCTGTTTTCTGGTAGTTCGAATAGCCCTGTTGAGGCATAGTAGCCTTACCTTCTTAAGTAGAGGTTCGCTACCAGGTGGGAGATGTATGCGAAAGAATGACATCGGATATATACTTTGATTAAAAGGGCCTTTTCCCACTCGTCCACCACGCAAGCCCTCAACACCGAATTGAATTATATCAAGAGGATAGCAGCCAAGCACGGTTACCATGGTCTAACACACCGTCTAATTGAGCGACATCAACGCTCACAATACGCACCCACTATGAGTACGAAGACCAACACTGACCAGGATGAACGTACACGCCTCCCAGTCACGTTTAACCCATATGTTAAAGCGATATACGCTGAGATCGCCGGAAAACAACAATTACAAATAGCCTATAGAAGATGCCCAACAATCTACGACATCCTCAGAAATGGAAAAGGCAGTCCAGTTCGTAGCAGGCTTCCTGGCGTGTACTCTATCCCGCTGAAAGATAACAGATGTAACGAGAACCTTGTCTATATCGGCTCAACCAAGCGATCTTTAAATACCAGAGTGCAAGAACATCAAGCAGACCTTCAGCATGGGCGGTACACCACGGCCCTAACCACCTTTGCATCTGATCCCGATGTAGAACCAGAGTTCGACAAAGCCGACATCATCGACACTACATTCCACCTGGAACAACTAAAATGGCGGGAAGCTATATCCATCTGTAAGGCTAACCACCGGACCACATGTATAAATCGGAAGGATGAGATAAATCTTTCTATAGCGTGGCAGGCCCTCATAAACAACGATCTATAAATAGCAACATCAACGCACGAATGCGCATGACCATCTTAATGATCGTTCGTTATGCGAGTTTCATATTTTTTGTTTAAACATCTGCGTTCTATTTTTAGATTCGGTTTTTTATTTAAATATCTACGTTCCATTTTTCAAAGTGTTTCGTCGGAATTTTTTCTCTACCTGAAGAAGAGCTATTTGGAAGCTCGAAAACGTTTGTGGAAAAAGTTTTTTCACGCAAATTACACCGGTAACAGGTTCAGTATTTAGTAATTCATCCCCGGTGTCAGAGTGAAGTTTAATTTACTTAATTGTTAAATTGTCTGGTAAAAGCTCAAAAAAAAATTTTTTTAAATCCACCAAAGACATCATCTCTCTTTAAAAACATGTGGAACCCATATGTCAAGCTTTGAAACGAAACCAATTTGTTTCAAGCAATCATAAACAGTTCAATTTGACAAATTTAATCTTAGTGATTTCACGTGCTGTTATTCGGCAGTTTGCTTCAATCAGTACCTTTATTTTGTTTTCATTGGCTTCAACTGGCCATCCTGAACATGGTGCATCTTCAATATTGAAATTGCCAGAATGAAATTTTGTAAACCAGTTTTGGCACTGTCTTTCTCTCAACACATCATCTCCATACATGTACTGTACCACAATTTTTTTCTTGCTTGAACAGCATTTTGATTTTTTGGTAATAAAAAAGCAAAATATGCCGAAAATGATGCTTTCAATCTTCCATATTTGATGGGACACAAAAAATAAACAATTGCACAGAATCAAACAAAATTTTTTACAAAAGTCTTAAAATGCTAGCTGTCAAAATATATAATGATAATATAGTTAAGGATGAAAATGGCGGGAAAAATATGACTAATCTGTCTAGTGGTAAAAAACCGAACTTACTTTCTGAACAACCTAATATAATTGGATAATGGGCCGACTTAAAACAACTTAGTGTAGACAGGATGGCAAGTTCTCTAATATTGTGTATATTGTTACAATGCAGTTTTAGGTCCCCATTATTGTATTTCTCTTATAGTTTATTTAGCAAACAGCTTCTGTAAATTGACAAAGCATTTTCACAAACTTATGCTGCATATTGGAATTGTGTAACCAAAAGATAGATTGATGCAAATAATCCAAGTAAGTTTCTAGAATTTTCTAGAATAATCGATGCCATCTGTCAGAAAACAATTTATAGAAGTTTCTTGTGCAATGTACAAATGAAAAAAATATTGTGTGTGGTGATGTTAAGTTTGCCAATGTTTTATAATTTCCACTTTGGTATGAAAGCAGTTAAATCTTATCATCATATGGTGCAATTGTTTGGCAAGAATGTGGTCTCCAAGTCTGCAATCAGTTCAGTAAATTTAAAGCCACTCATATGATAAGCCATGCTCAGAAGGCTTTATTTCACACCTGACCATGCAAGACACTTGGTCATCACCAGTTTACTGTAGTTTATCACTTAACTGTCATTGGAAAGGTCTGCAAGACCACACATGTCAAGGTTCATCTAGAAGCTGTTTGATCTTGGATATGAGGAGTGAGAAAGAGCCTCCCATAGTCCAGACATTGTACCATCTGTTCGATGGAAAGCAGTTTGCTGCTGATGATGAGGTGAAAATTGCACTCAGAGTTCTTTGAGTAAAGACAGTCTGGGTTTTATTCAGCAGAAATCCATGACCTGTCCAATTGATGTGCTTGAATGTAATAGTTGATTCAAGAAGATAATTGCCATTTTTTGTTTTTGAAATAAATACTGTACTAGAAAATTCCAGAAACTTTTTCATCAACCCAATATTATTTCAACCTTTATAGACAGCAGTCATGTTTTGCAATGACTTATCCGATGATCATGAATATACACACACACACACACAAGAAAGACTTTGGCTGTACACCAGGTGTTTAGCTGGCAGAAAAGAGGGTAAGGGAAAGGGGAGGGAAAGAAGAAGGGAGAAGAGATAGATAGTAGAGAAAGGTAGGATCCCCTGAACAGCATACATATGGCTACAGTATGGCTATGTTTGATGTTGGCATGCAATTTTTATGCTGCAAGGCTGTAGTCCCCCAAAGTGTCTAAAAGTAAACCTGAGTATAGCGGACACCGATAATTGAGTGCAACCCTGAATAGCTAAGTGTAGAAGTTAGTGCCAAGTTGCTGTTAGTAGGAAGACTTATATCTACTTAATACTAATAAAACTGAATGTGAGTGCAAATCTTAATATTACTTAACAGCTAGACAGACAGCACGAAAAAACAAACAAAAGACAAATATGCAAAACCCCAAATTTTTAAAATATTTAAAAATTTTTATTTTATTTTTTTAAACATTAACTTACTTCCCATAAACTAGAACAAACCTAACCAGAAATCAAGCTAAGAGTCCCTAATCTAACTAGGACCGAAAAGAAGACGGAAAATAAGAATTAAAAAGAAAATACAAAGTTGAAAGCAGCTATATACCAATAGTTGAAACAAAGCAAGGGAAAGATAATTTCCATCCATGCCGCAGGGAGAGTGCTCCCAAGAACCCCACTAAGGGATACGAATGCAAGTAGATGATGGAACATTGTGTGTGAATGAGATGGTGCAGATTGCAATGCCAGTTGTACCCTTCAAGAATAGCAGCTCTCATTAAACTATCCCTAATGTGATTGTATCTATTGCAATAAAAAACTAAGTAAAGTGGTGTTTGGTCCTCCTGAATACCACAATTGCATTGTTAAATCTATGCAAGTATTGCTTAAAGCTTCTGTGTCCTGTAAGTAGCTGAGTGAGGGTGTAACTAGGTTAAAAGTGGCAAAGAATCACAGTAGTGTCAACATTGGGGATGAAAGTATAGGTGAGCCTACCAATGGTGTCACGGTCCTACCTGTCTTGCCAGAGAAGGAAGATTTGCTTCTTGCATTGATGTGATAGCCAGGGTCCTGAGCTGGATAGACTTTCCAGTCATTGAACCTATCATGTTAATAGTGTAGGGTTCTACTTAAACTATCTTATAACTTAAACCAAGGAAAAGAACAGAACTGAAAACCAAAATACTGCAAAACAGTATAAACAAAAAACATGAAAATGGGGTGGCCTAACAGGGGGAACAAAGCACCTAATAAGGGAACGAATTACAAAGGGAAAACTAACTACAAAAAACAGAAACTAGGCGGTTGAAACTGGCCTAGTAAAACCTAACTATAAACTTACAACCTAAAAGGCTCAAGAACAACTCAGAAAAACAAAAAATACTGCAATGCAGATAAAACCAGAAAACTTGAAAAACTCAAACTAGTTGACTGAGAAAAACCAAAATTATAGGGGAAATTAAATGCCCGAAGACCTAATTAACTACAAAAAGAGAACTATATAACTTAGACATAAACTAAGAGAAGACTAACTGAAAAACATCCTAAAAACTGAAAATTTACAAAATACCTTCTTGTTTTTTGCTGGTTTAATCGAGTGGAAGTTGAAAAAGAGTAAAATTAAACTGATTAAATCAAAGAAACTGTTTCTACCTGGGAACACCAAAACATAACCAAGCTAGTTAAGTCTAACAGATGAAAAACACATGAAAAAGAAAAATCTAACTTAATGAGAATGAAAAACTGACTCAAAATCTAAGTAGTAACACAAATACTAACTAAAATGACAAAAAACAGCAGTAAAAAACACTCAATAGAGCCCGAGAACACAAAACCAGACCTCAGCAAAAAGCTCACCAACACAAACAAGAAGCAGGTAGAGGACTATGAATGCATACACAACACTTTCTTTAATATCAATCATAGATCTATACATGTAAAACATAATAAAAGTTTTTATTACACTAACTCTAAAGTGGCATCACAATTTGCAGCCATGCAGACAATGGCTATAAGTTTTACATGTTGATTAGTGAGTGCACACATTTGACATATAACTACAACAAAATTCTAGAAAAATGAACCAACCAATGATAACCTAATCACATGTCATCAAAGTTATCCTATACAGTAGACCCCCCCTATAACGCTTAGATACGTTCCACGTTAATCGAATTTTATGTTGTAGGAATGATTAAATACATGAGCCAATCGTAGCCCGATAGGTGTGAACTTTACGGACTAAGGCTGTTTGAAAGGTTTTCTTCTATAAAATTAACCGATTCTAGACTAATTCCACTCAACATTTCCAAAACATGTATAATTTTTTGGGAATAATCTGTATAAACTATGCTATAAACAAAAAATAGGATTACTTACCGGTGTGTACCGTTCGACTACGCCGTTGCTCAAAGCTTGTTTTCGTCGCAGAACAGCACACGAAACGGTGGCCGCGATTTCTGATAACGAATTTTTCGCAGAAAAATAACTTGACCTTTGGAGACATCATTAATCTAAATAATTTTTATGGCCGTTGAATAAGAAGTGTTTCTTTCACAAGAAATGTATAAAATTAGTGCTGTATTAGACTTACGGTACCTAATTTACATACTGTACAGACGATAATAAACTCAACTTACTAGCCTAAAATCTCCGTAGCGTGTTGCCAGGCGGCAGAAAGCATATATATAATTATAATAAAGTTACAATAAATTAAGTTAATATATAATTATATATACAGTACCTAATTTATGTATAATTAATATATAATTATATGTACAGTACCTAATTTATATATAATACTGTACAGACGATAGCAAACTCAATTTAGCCGCTCCGTAGCGTGGCGCAGGGCAGAGGAAAGTAGTTCGGCTGCTCATCCACTATTGGTCCAGATTCTATCAATCTTGTCGCGAAACGAGTCGGCGACGACGTTTTAGGAGCTCCTTTAAACGAATGTTGCTGCAATTTTTTCGCTACGTTATTTATTTATTTATTTATTATTACAGAATTAAGGAGGCTGTCTATTATTGAATTAGACTTAGCCTCATAGAATAGAAAGTTATGAAGTAAAGGATTAAGTTGTAAAAATGAAGATGTTGAGAGTATTTTTAGAGGATAGTAGATAGAAGAAAAGGAATAAGGTAGAAAGTTAAGTGGGTTAAGGAGAAGGTGGGTGGGCCTTAGAGCGACCGCATCGCAAATGATAGATAAATACGTATTATGTTACAATATCAACAACGCAGTGTGGAAAACAATATAATCCCGACAATTCATTTAACACAGAGATGAGGCCACAAGAGGCCGCTATATACAGAAATATTGTATAACACTATAAGCATGGTAATTGCAAGAGTCCGGAGAGACAGTGGTAGAGCGGACTTTAAAACGTGTTATAGGTTGTCTATAACTTCGCTCGGTACATAATAGGGGAGAACGTTGTTACCTAAAGGTAGTCACCAAAGACAGTCACAGTCCGCGCGTACAAAATAAATCTGAGGTGAAGAATTGTGATAGAGACAACCTGATACAAACAGTAATTAAAGAGATCGCGGTTAAACAATGATTTAAGCCGAGAAAGAACTTTAAGGTACTGTACATAAGCGTGGGGGAAAACCGAACACAGTTTCTTCGCTACGTTATAGGAACGCACGTTATAGGGGGGTCAACTGTATATCTTTTGATAAAAAAGAGAAAGGCTCTAATTTTAATGAAGTAATTTTACAGGCATTCATTATCAATAGTTGTTCCAATTGGCATGAGAACAACAAACTTTTTCCTTTCTTATTATGATCACCAGCTATATTCCAATTAGATAAAGCTTAAAAACAAAATTCTTGAAACTTCTGCAGTCATAGTTAAACTTGCATGGTATTCAGAGGTTGTTAATTAATGGGAATGGGAATGGCAATTGCCTGTGTGATTGATTATAATAAAGTGTGATCACCACTTAAGACAATACTCTGTACTGAGAGTACCACCCTGTATTGCAATAATGAATGGTCTGTGTACAGTGTGTAGTTCCAAAACTAAAATATTTAAATTTTACTTACAACATCACTTTCATCATCTGTCATAATTTGACTAATATCTTCGTCACTATCATTCTGTGTTGTCTGTGACAAAATTTCTACTCCCTATTTGTAATTGTTTTCTCAGTAAACATTTAAAAAATTTATAAAAGTATTAATTTTAATAAAATTTTACCTGTAAATCTCTATTTTTTAAAAATGTTTAAAAATTAAACATTTTTAAAAATGTTAAATTGAAACGCGATTTTTAGATTAATTTTAATAAAATTTTACCTGTAAATCTCTATTTTTTAAATTTCCCAACCAGAATGCATCTTTACATTTATTAAGTGCTAACATAGCTTTCACTCTATAAACAAATGATTCTAGAGTCCTTTTCATGGTAGGCACTTGTTTAGTAAGGACTACATCTTTTGTTACCTAAACAATTACATCTTCATTAACACCAAAAATTAATTTGTAAACAAAAATAAATGTCTGTATACCTTGGAATGGCTACACACATGCTGTAAGAAACGATTACTCATTTGAAGAGTTTTTAGAAGATTCTGCACTTCAGCACAGTGACTGCGGAATACTTCATCCAGTAGAGGCATTCCTTGTTTTAGAAACATGTCCACAAATTGTCTTCCATACTATATAACAGTTATCATTATTCATATAAGGAAGGAATATTATATTGTTTAAGAAACCTATATTTACCTTTAATGTACAGGCTATATTTAATTTTCCATCAAATACCTGATAATTAAATTTCTTTCTTTAATATAATTTTACTTTGTTAACAATTAACAAAAAGAAAATTACCTTTAGCAGATTTACCAGGACGTGAAATATTCTTACAGCAATCAGCCATTGTTTTAAATTGGATTCTTGATTCTAAATAAATATATGTATTTCAGGGGAATCCTCCTTTTTTGAACCAATATAAATTTAGCAAAATAATGACAAGTTTCAAAGTACATTGACTCCTATAATTGTAGCATCCCCCCTGATTTGTTAAAACATTTTTGGGACTTCTCTGTCCTATTGTCAGACCCACTGTTGACGAGATGAACAAGACCCAAAAAATGTTTTAACAAATAAACACTTGTGTATATATTTTATTTTTTAATTAACAATTTAAATTGGGAAAAAATTTATTTCATAATTTTTTTTTTAAAGGAATGTGTATGGAAAATTCCTTTGGAATGTACACAATCCTTTTATTTTATATATAATTTCTTACCTCTTTAGAATTCTTATTCTTTGAAAAATAATCTTTCACATCCTCACAGAGATAATAGTACATCATTTGATAATATACATTAAATGTTGACCTAATTTAATTATTAAAATTTAAATATTAATGTAATTAACAAATTTTATGTCAAAATATTATACTGCTTACTTATTTAAAGTAGGAAAATCTGTACAATGTACTTCTTTACTTTCAGATTCCACAAGTTGCGGAATAGCTTTGGTGGATAAAATTTCCAATTCTTTCATTGTATCCGATGTGAATTTAAGATATGTTCTGTAAAAATAGTCTCATTAATTGCCAATTTAAATTTAAAACTAAACAAATTATATACACACTTTAATAATGTCCTTATATGATCATTTATTTTTGCTTTTTTAGATTTTTGTCTCTTTTTCGTATCCCATTCCTGCCTCAGAAAGGTTTCTGCTTTGTGTGCCAATGTATTCTTTGTGTCGTCGTCAAGGTGAATAACAATTGTGTCTAGCACTTTAATAAGCATGGTGCTACTTTCTAGAGTGGAGAGATTACTGGAGAATTTTTCTAAATATTGAAATGCATATCTAAAATAAAACAGAATTTGAGAAAAATATTTTTTTTTTGGAAGGTTAAAAAATTAAATATTTTATCATACTTTGCTGTATCTTGTAATCCCAAAGAAGATACACTTATTTCAGTATTTCTAGATGCAAATACTTTCAGAATTTCTTGTAACAGAGTTTTGTTTTTTCCTAAGAAACTGTTCCTAGCAAAATATAAAAATATCGTTAACCATTTTCCAAATCAGTCAAAATATTAATTAAAAAAATATATTGTAAAAATACCAAGAAAGAAGCATATGTATAGTTTGTAGGATCAGTTCACTGCAATGTGCAATAATAATTGAAACATCTGTAAACATCTCCAACCCATCAATTATGCCGTCATTCTTTTCTATGATAGCCTAAAATTATATTTTGAATTAAGTATACAAATAATTGTTTTATAAATCTATATATTTAGTTAGAGTTACCTTAAAGTAATCACAGGTTATCTCAAATAAATCACACAATGCTGGTAATAGTGCAATTACTTGTTCTACAATTTCTGTTGGGGTACGTATATTAAGATTAGAAAAGCTACTTTTCTTTTCATTAGTTCCCTATTTAAAATGGAAAGTTTAAAATATATTAATAAATAAATTAAAGAAGTAATTCATTTATTGGCTAAATAATATTTAAAAAATATTACATATCTTTGCAAAATCTAATGCATATGTTACTGTGAATGACTGAAATCTGGCGAATGTCAACATTCTCCGGTGAATGTCAACATTCACACAGTCGTTTCGTGTATGTCCGAAATATTTGCTAAATATCGTTATTTCTCACTTACACCGGCAAATGTCGACATTCAGAATGCGCTGATGGTGAATGTTGAATAAAAATATTTTTATTACGTTAAGACAAAAATGCAACTTTTTAATATGTCAAAATAGGAGAAAGCTTAAGTAATAGTACATGTAAATAAACTGTTGAACCTAAAACGAACAGTACATTCTAAATCATTAAAGAAAATAATACAATAATAAACTTACACATAAATTATGTGATTAACGTTATACAATCTTATTTATTGCAACAACTTAAACTGTTATGGCACTTTGAATTGCACAAGAGTCCCTTGCTTTTACAACTGCATTTATTCGTGGAACACTTCTTTTTGCAATGACAGCGTGTATAGCCTTGCCCTCCACTTTTCGAATTAGCTGCAGCTGCTTCTCTCAGCGATATTTCTTGAGAAGAAATCTTACCTATGGAAAATTTTCTTTACAAATTACGAACTGATTACGGGTATAAAGCTGCTTGAAAGTACCATTTTTGTTTGCTAATTTATAAAAGTCGGAGTCTTCTATTCTAACAACAACTGCCAACACATTTCGGGCATCTGTACGGCCACGGTCAACATCAGGGACTTGTATTCGTACGGTATCACCAATTTGAGCAGAAGGAAACGGCAAAGAATTTGGCGACAGACTGTTGCCTCTCCGTTGACATCGGCTTCTCGGGTGTCGTTTCGACCTCCACCAAAGCTTATATGTTCTTGTCGACATACACTGGCGATTGTTCGAATGTATAATAATATAACCAAATATTCAGTCTTTCACCGACATATTTTGTATGTGTCGACATTCACCGGAGAATATCAACATTCTCTAATTTCGGTCTTTCACAGTAACACATATATGTAATAAATACAAATCACACACCATTGTACTGGATTATATTGTCAAAGTTCAAGAGTTAGTATATTCCTGGGGTATAAAAATAAATGACGCAGTGAATCAAGAAAGTGCCCAAGATATGTTAGTACTAAAAGTTTCAAGCTACTATGAAATCACATTTATTGATATAACTTAATTCTTCACACATTTTTCAAATCTATTTATGATTGATATTTTAAGCCTATGATTTCTGTTCCCAAGCATTATTTCTTGTAGATATACGTTATTCACATTATGTATTTTGGACTTAGGCACTTCTTGCTTGCAAAGCTTGTTTTTAGGAATTAAAACGTATTAGAGAGGTTGCAGCCAATGTTTCCATTGCGAAAATGTGTATGTCGGATGTTCAGCGCCGCCTTCCTGTAAGCCTAGAAGTTTGACAATGGCATTTGGAACATCAGTGGAATCATGCTCGATGTATCAAACACCATTGTCAAACTTCTAGGCTTACAGGAAGGCAGCGCTGAATGTCTGATGTGCACATTTTTGCAATGAAAATGTCGGCCGTAACCTCTCTATTACTAGTTAATTTTTTAGTGTTAAAAAAAATATATTGAAACTGAGATTTTGTAATATATGTATGTACTAGCTGTTACCTGCAACTTCACCCATGCGGATTTTGCAAGCAAACCCCATTTATATTCAGTATTTCAACAACCATAGTAATTGTTATATAACACTTCTGCTGAAAATGATGAGAATTGCTGAGAATCAAACAAACCATTTTCAATTTAATCAATTTTCTGGAACATTTACAATTGTTCAATAATCAAACCAATATGCAATAACAAATTCGAATTTAAAACAGTTCGAACATTTGGTTAAAGAATCGAAATACATAAAAATATTTATAAAAATGTCTGAAATGTTATCAATTTAATACACCTAAGTACTCAATGAAAACTAAACGTAATTGAAAAAAAAAAAAAATCGCATCTAAAATAGTATAGTAGAAGCCGTTCTTCAGGTTAAGCCTTAATGCTCTCCCTCTCCCCTGCAGGGGAATTTCCAAAAATCCCTTCTTAGTGTGCATTCTTTACATACCCTAACTGTGTACCAAATTTCACCTCTTTAGGTTCAGCAGTTTGCTCTGGGCAATGATGTATCAATTACTCAGTCAGTCAGGACAAGTAATTTTATATGTTTAGATGAATGGTTTATTTTAAATTATGATTATTATATTGTGGTAAATGCTGAATAAATTTATATTACCTTAAATATACTTGGTAGACTTGAATGTTGAAGTACTTGCGTTAATTTATGATTTAAATCTTCTATTAAAAAGCAAAGTACAGATGGATTAAGTTTAAGATTCTGTAAATAATTGATACAATTATGATTTTTATTCACCAGTATTTAAATTAAAATTAATAAAAAAATACCTCTTCAGAATGCAATTCTAAATCACTGTTAATGTCTAAACCGTTTTGTAATAAAATGAAAATATCCAAATCTAATTCTCTATAAAAATAAAATAAGGATAAAATTTAAAATTGAAATTATCATCATCATTAGAATTAAACATTTTTCCAATATATTGAGAAATTTACCTGAAAAATATAGAATATGCAGATAAATTATTTGTGTTATCTTTACTTTTATCCTCCGTCTATAGCATTAAATGTTTATAATTAGTAATATATTATAACAAATTCAAAATAAAACAAACAAGAAATTACATTTTCATCCAAATCTTCAATATCCTGTGTTTGAAGATTTTGAGATTTAGTTTCTTGTACTTCATGTTTTTTACCTTTTCCTTTCCTTTCAAAGTGTAACATCGGAATTGCAAATTAATTATTATAAATGTATATGTGCACAACTTTTCATTTGAAACTTACTTTTTAGGAACAGTTTTCTTCTTTTTTATATTTACAGATGAAAAATTTTTATGGGATAATTCATTGATATCTAGATCAAAATTAGCTTGTACAGGAATATATCCTGGTGTTTCTGAATATTAAAAAACAACATATTGTGATGACATATACCAAACAAAATAAAAGAAAATGACTAAGAAAAAAACTCAGTATATGTTAATTTTTATACTGTGTATAAAAGTAAAAATTATTTTAATATACATTACAAGCACTTTTAATGAATAAACTTACATTCTTCAGATAAAAATAAAACAAAATACTTTAAATTGTAAGTTTTATATTAGTTTTGAAATATTCCTTTAAAACTGTAGTTAGTTTAAATGTTCTGTTCCATTTTTACCTTAAGAGAAGCTGATATAATCAAAAGTACTTGTAATACACTTTAATATGTTCACTGCTGTGTTGAAGTCTTCAACATTGCATGTGTCAGCTCTTCTCATAACTATCATAAAAGTTTTCTGCATTTCTTGCTTAGAAAATTGTATTATTTATTTTTAATAAAAAGTTTTTTGACATTTTTACACAATGTACTTCATGTAGGACAATACATGGCGTGTATTGTATCCTGGGTACATCACCTGATAATAGTTGGCCTCTGCACCCAGTGAGAAAGAGAGCATGAAATAGCTTTGGTATTCATAGCTATTTGATGCTCCTTATAGCTATTTCTATACCAAAAGTACTTTCTGTAGTACAAAGTAGAAAAGTTTGTGTCATTTGCAGAGATCTCTACCACAGTTTGTTGCTCCATACATATAATAAGTAATCAAACCAAAAAACATTTTTCAGCACATAGCTTGGAATGTCCATTGCTCTCTATATTGTAGTAAACATGCTTATTTCTACTTTTATACTTCAGCCATTAAATTAATACCAACTGACAAACCTTATATTTATATAAAATAAAATTATAAAAAAGATATTTGCAATTTATTTGTAAATAAATAAATAAATTATTTTAATAATGCTAATGAAATATATTAAACATACCACACAACAGGTTTTGAAGTATATTCTGTAAATTAATGATATCTTTCAGTCTCTTTATTACTTTACTTCTTAAATGATTATTTGAAGTTGCAGCAAAGGCATTTACTAACTATTAAAAAAAGCAATTATATTTTTAAAATTTATCTTAATACTATTATATTATAATTAAATTTCTTCAATAATCTTACTTCTCTAAACCAATTTAAACAAAAAAAGGTAGCATCACAGACTGCATGCTTCATTTCTATAGACAATTTAGAAAATTCCTTTAATTCATTTTGATGAGGCAAAGAAACTGGACAACCTAATAATTCTTGTAATGCATTTAGAGAGATTGAAATCTGACTTTGCTCACAGATTTGAAGTAAACGAAATAATGGTGTTATTATAATTGGGGAAATATTTGAAGCACTAGATAAAAATAAAATAATGAAAATTTTGAAATTATTTTAACATAATATATTTATATTTTAAAAATTTTCTTACTTATTTTCTTTTTGCTTAGAATTTAAAATGACAGGCATCAGATTCAAAACAATATTGCTTGTATCTGTACTTATACCATATCCAAGTTCTAAATTCATATTATTACATCTGTAATATTTTTCAAAATACATTGAGATGTGCTCATAGAGAAATTTATAGACTTTAGAATAACTTTTTAATAACAAAAAAAAACATTAACATATCACACACACACACACACAAAATATTACAAAGATATAAAGAATACATGTTTGTAATCAATGAATACATTATACTGAAATTCAACAAGAAAAAAAAGTTGCTGCCTTTGACTGTAATGGGTTATTTAAGTAGCGTGTTGTGCTAGAATTGCATGTTAAGTAATGATTTTCCTAACAGACCACCCTGAAAAACTGCTGGGGTTTTTCAACTACTGGCTTTGATCTCAGGTCCTCCAGAGTGGTAAGCTGACATCTTAATAATAATAAAATATAAAATAATAATTAAATAGATAATTCTATAATATTAATGAATAGATATTGTNTATGTCTTGGCTACTTTAATATTATTTTCGTTAAATTTTTGGTGTTTTAGCTGGCAACACTGGCTTGATCATGAAAGGGATGCCAGTATTTAAACGAGGCTTAATTTTCTAATTATGAGTGGTTGTTTGTTTTGTAAGCAATAAAATAATTAAAAATTAATTTTTAACGACACTACTGCTCTCAGAGAGGTATACTATAAAGAAGCCAGAATGATATATTATGTATATGGTTCAAGTAAATAATAAAGAGGAACATATCTTACTGGGCTGATTTTTGAAGGAAAAGACAGTGCACTTGCACATGAAAGCCAAAATAGAACAGGAAAAGGATGTTATAAAATTTATTACCTAGGAGTTTATGGTGAGAAATTGTTAGCAGATCAAGATGCTACAAATAAACTTTCTCAAAAATTTTTAGATATTATATAGAAAGATAGAGTTATTCCTAAACAAATCTATTATTTCAATGAAACAAACTTAAATTTTAAGCTTCTTTTGAAAACATTAACAACAGCATTTAACAGCAGCAACATTTGCTACTGGTTTCATGTTTGTACAAATGCTATCGAGAGTTACAAACTGCTTTTTCAATTAGAAAAGTTAAGGGCTATTTGTCGTCCGCGCCATTTGCGGATCAGTTTACGTACGATCTTGGGATAACCATGTACGTTGTTACCATGTATCCCAAGATCGTACGTAAACTGATCCGCAAATAGCGCAGACGACAAATAGCCCTTAACCAAGCACCCGATGAAGTTCCATCTAGAAAAGTTAAACCAAGAGCATTTAAAATTGTACCAATCCTCTATCAGTTTACTACAAAACCCATAAATCAGCCTGAATAAATTCTTTTCTATTTGAAGAATGTTTTTCAACTGAATTTGTTCTAAAAATTGATGTTTGAAATTACTGCTAAAGACTGATCTTGCCTTTTATAATGCTCCAAAGCACCTCATTGATCTATCTTCTAATAACATAAAAATGTTTTTTTTTTTTTTACCACTTGAAATTACACTTTGGTAAAACCTATAAATTAAGTTGTGATAATTAGTCTGAAACAATGCAAAAATTTCAGTGTCATTACTATTAAATATATAAAAATGTTTCTAGAAATCAAATAAAATTAATTTTCTTTTTAAAAGTCTGTTCTCATTTCCAGTTTAACAGTATGTACTGAAAGGTTATCTGTACTTACATATGCAGATAATCTTTAGTATAAAATAATAGATTCTAGAAAATAATTTGAAAATAAATGAATAATCTGTATCAAACTATATCTGTTTATTTACCAAAATTATGAACTAATAACAAAAAAATTTTTTTTTTACATTATCATGCAATTAATAGTAATGACAATAATTATAATATATGCAGAAATGACTTTATAATTATATAACAATGTATTATCCTTTTTCTTTTTTCTATTTTACTTACTCTAATGGAACATCTTCTAAATTTACTGTATATTTGTTATAGAAATCAGAAGTGATACGTTTACTAATCCAATGCTAAAAGTAAAAATTAAAATGTAATTTTATCTAAATTTTTTAATGATACTAATGATACTTACACATCACACATTCTTTACCTTTATTCGATTATCCAGTTCACCCTTTTGTATAATTCTGGATAATTCATCACAAAACAAAGCAAATGCCTCTGGTGATTTATATGTACTTTTCTGCACTAATTCTAATAAATTAATGGCTTGTTTTTGTTTTCCAGTTGTAAAAGTTGAATCACTATCCACTAAATCTGTACTACCACTGCTAGATACGTCATTACTTTATGAAAAAAATAAAATAATATTCAATTTTTTATTTAAATTTTTTAATATATAATTTGTTTTATACAGTATAATGAAATTAATAAAATCTGTAAAAATAAAATACATAGAAGTTTACAAGACTGCATTGATTGATCTCTTGTTAATTATATAAGTATTTTTATTACGTATATCTTACTACACTATACCGAGTGATCTACGAGAAGTCCTTTGGCATAACAGCCATTTGTAGTACCAAGAATGTAAAATTTTCTTTGTTTTTATGCAATAACAAACTGAGTTATTTTCCTTTAATTTAGTATGTGGTTTTGTTTTTGCTTATGTATTTATTTACAAATGGGTTTTATGTCAAACGATTTCTGGACCATCTGTTAGACACACACTTTCAATCAACTTAGATTTTTAGATATTTCAAAATTCAACTTTTCTATCTTTCGTTGCAAATAGAAATAGTCTTTCCATCATTAAAATTTAATGATGGAAAGACTATTTCTATTTCAATTATTAAACTACTTAAATAAAGGTTATTTAAATTTATTTATTGACTGATTNCTTAACTACAGTAATAGAAATTGAAATTAGTCTGTAATATTTAAGAAATTTAGGTTTTATGTATTTGTTAAACTCTATTATTTAATTGTTGTAAAACTTTGAAGATGTTTGCATGATAATTAAGTAAATTAGAACAGTAACTCAGATATTTATTCTAAGTTACTATTCTAGTTTATTCTTTAACAGAAAAGTAATTAAGGTATTTATCTAAAGTTTTTGGGCATTGGTTAAGTTTACATATTTTTATTTGTTTTGACATACAGTGAAACCTGCTAAGGTGACCACCTATGTAAGATGACCACATTGAATTGGTCCCTTCAGTATTGTGTTAATGAGTTTCACTGTAATTGGCATAAATTATCAAGTTATCTAATTTACATAAATGGAAGCATTGATATAAGTGCCAGGAGAGTTATCCTGGCATTCATATCAACACTTCCATTATTTATAAAAACTGAAGAAAGGTAATTATATATCACTGTGAAGACCCAAACAGGGTCCAAAGGGAAGCAATTAACGACTTTTTGAATGAGTCAAGTTTCGTAGCGTGAAAGAGTGAACTTAAAGATTGGATTTAAACAATGAACCTTTTGTCTTGTTAAAAGATTTTAAACAATAAATAGAGTAAATTCGAGGAAAATGAGGTTGGAGAGGAGTTGTGTTCTGACGCAACGTTGACCTCTCCCACGCCCTTCATTGGGTTTCGAATTGTCACCATATGACGAGGAGAGACCAATGGAGAGACGACTGTGGTGGAAAAATCGATAAAACCGCGTTTTCAGGAACTTTACGAGGTCTTGAGTTTTGGTGCATAGTGCTCCCCTGCTGGGATTTGGTGCTCACGACAGAGATACAACATAGGCTCTTTCAACGCCCGAGGAGCTGGTTTTGCCAACCCGTCTCATCCAGAATCGCCGAGATCATGTCCAGGATCATCGAGGTTCGACTCGTCCACCAAGGACATCTCTACAAGTGCTGTGTGTGCCCGGGGGCCAGTGTTCTCTGCATCCAGCGTACCGAAAATACCCAAGGACCGATTGAACAGTCGAACTTTTCCGGGTTTTTTTTTGTGGTTATAGTAACCCATCATTGGATAGGCTTTCGCCTGACATATTGAGTTATTGTAAGATCAATTTATGTATTTTATTAAACGGTTTTTTATGGTAAACCTGTCTCGGTGAGTCATTCTGCACCCACACGACAGTAATGACTGCTCAGCTGTCGAAAACACCTCACCCCAACAGGCTAACCTCACATCACAGATAAACCAAAATACTTATTTAGTAGCTGTTTGGATGAACAGTGTGTTCTAGCTGGTTTCCAATTGACAATTTATGTAAATTAAGTCAAAACAAATAAAAATATATAAAGATACATAATGATATGTAACTTTTCTGCTAAAGAATAAATAAGTAATACATTGTGTTGCTTTAGAAATTAATTTCTAACAGAAAACAAATTTTAAAAAATTCATAGTAGCAGACATATCTGTCTATGAGGAACTGGATTGACTCTAGGAGAGATTTTTTTGAAATCTTTTGAGTTGTGTAGAATATATCAATTCCATTCTTCATCAATTGGCCATTTGTTGTGTTATAATAATCATGATATAAACCTTTTCTAACTTTCTACAGTTTAGGAGAATATATATATGTTATGTTAGAAGACTTCAAATAGTTTATTATAAACATGGCTGAAAGTTTGTAAACACTAATTTTTTTATTATAACAATAAAGACCATACAAATAATTCAGGGTCAGATCAAATCCTTTTTTAATTTTCCAACTAGAGACAGATGTTTAACAACATTAAAAACTGTTGACATGATATTAAAAAAACATATAATATACATTTGATGTCAACCTTTCCTTTGAGGATTAGACATCAATGAGACAGTATTAAAATTTTTGAAAGCATCACTCAGGTAAATATCTGTTGTATTTATACACATCTGCAAACCTCTGGTGGAAATCCAGGAATTCATTTGTAATTTGCATATTTACATGAATTGTAAAGTTCCAAGGATTAATCTCTACTTGAAAAATTAAAAAAGGGTTAGACCTGACCCAGCATTATTTGTATGGTCTTTATTTTTAGAATAAGTGAATTAATCCTTGAAACTTTACAATTCATCTAAGAATACTTTAATTTTTCTTTATTTTTTCATTTTTTGAGTAAATGTTAATTATTTTGTTTTTAATTAATCTAAGCAAATGCAAATTGTTTAATAAAATTGAATTATTGATAAAAACATCTCAGAGTAAGAAAAAAAAGTCAGTATTCTCATAAACAAATTTAGGAAAGTTTGAACTTTACATAGTATTCAATACTGTAAAACAATTTAAGCATGACTCATCCCAGCCACCTGCACAAGTAAGATCATTTTCGTGGTTAAATACTGTACTGTATGCAATATAAACATCACTGATATCCATAATCATTGTAAAGGCTGCCCTGATTTTATGACATGGATATGTTCCCAGAGGAGACAGCATAAATGAAATTAGCATAAAATTAATCCATTGTACAGTACAGTAATTGTTTTTTGATAAAAACATGTTAACTATAAGTTACAGTATTACTAAGATATACTGTATAATACAGCATTAAATTTATTTATTTTAATATATAAATACTGTGCAGTACTGTAATACTGTAACTCTAAAATATTTGTTAAGTGTAAATCGTTTAGGTCCAAATGCCCTTGTTGACAGATGTCTCTCCTTTCTTTACAACTAGTAGTCATATGAAGGCAGATTACATGATGGTTTTAAATGAACATATTTTTCATGCTTGGGCCACAATTTTATAAAGGTTTCACAGATTGATACCTAAAATTGAATCTAAATTCAAACTCAACCTAGTTGTAGTTATTGACTTTTAATGATCAATAGTCCTTACAAATTAAAAAAAATTCATTATATAGAAATTTAACTTTGTTATGTAGAACCAATTTTACTTATATTTTTGGCTGAAAGAGTAGTGTACTGTACAATGCAAAAATTTGTTATATGGAGAATATAGAAGTTTGTAATATGGAAGTTTGACTGTATTTAAACTATTGAATAATATTTTGGATTGTTCTAAAATGTCAGTTCAGTAACTCAGATTATTGTTATAATTGAAGTTGCTATTTTATACTTTATTTATTGTTCTGTCATTTATATAGCTTCTTATATCTTGAATTCAATTATAGATTTTAAGTAAAGATGTAACTAATACCAATATGTAAGAAGCGGGGTTAGAGAGTCAAGCTTTAAACCATTTGATTGACAATAGATCAGTGAGATCCAATCACATTGTCAGTGGATGGCTTGTGTTTCACTTTCTTTAAGGTTGGAGGTGGAAAAATCATAAAATTTCCTTCTCCTGTCAGGACTGACACCAGTTAAGAAATAATGCATCTTAACTCACGATTCTCATTCTTACAGCGGTTATTGGAGGGCTTTAGATAGAGTGGGGTAAGTCGATGGGTGACCGGTTCAAACAATTGAAGTCAACACCAGTTTAACTAAACAATAACTTTAATAGAAAAATAAAACATAAGATACAATTATAGTGGTACACTTCCTAAGCATATGTATCCAAGCCGATATCAATGAGGTCAACGTCCTAGTCTATGTGCGAATGCTAACTCAATATCTAGTTCAACCAAGAGAGAGTTTGCATCAATTGGAAACTTATCATTTTTCTTTTCTTTTAGTGCTGTCTGTTGGTCTGACAATAAATTATCCATGGAGTCAACTGGGGAAGTCAACATTTACACAAATCACTACAAAAATATAAGTAATCCTTTGGGACTATTCTTGCCAAGCCAAAAGATAGCTTTTATGGGATGGGAGCTGGCGAGTAGAGCTTTGTCTATGCTCTTCCTAGTGTGTCCGCCTCAATGAATGGGTGTCTGGCCGTTATATCCCCATCCGGTGTGGGAATGTGGTCAGGTAATCGATTGTTTGGCAACGATGACACATCAGAGATGTCATCGCTGGACAATGAAAACTAAATGAAGTCAATAGTAGGTTTCTTATTTCTCCCAATTGTTTTTAGATTCTCCCCATAGACTTGGTTAAATGTCAACTTTCTCACACTTTAACAGTTGATTGTTTTAACATATTTTTAATATTTTTGCAGATCAATGTGAGGGGAAGGACTTGTTGACAGTTAAGTTAACATTCAATATTCTCCATTTTTAACTCCATGGGAAATGGACAGTAAAAGGGAAAGTTTCTAAATCGTATCTTTTTGTTAAAAATTTATAAAGAAAACAGTCTCTGGATTCTCACAAATATATTAGCCTATAAGAATGTTCCTGATATATCAGAATTGATTTGTTTTACAAACTAATACTCTGCATTAGATTTTTTAATCTAATGCAGAGTATTATGCATCTGTGACAATGCAGGTATTTGGACATGGTAATGGACATATCAATATGTCCAAACTCATGATAGGCAGTGTAATCTCCTTTGCAGCTGATTTGCCATTGATGGCCAAGTGACATAAAGTTGTCATTTTTGGAGGCACCAACTTTTTAGGGGATCCTGCATAGAAATGGATGGGCAACATGTAAGCAATGCTGCCAGGCCTAGCAATCCAGATTTGGAAATGTTTCAAGCCAGTGGTGGTTTGGTGATTTTTTTTCCTATACTATTATAAATTTATTCAAGATATGTTCAAATTTTTTCCTAAAAACAGATTGGAGTCAGGCCTAGGCAAACTAGACAGTTATAATCAAATAGGGTCCAGATCTGAAAATCACCCATAAATTAATTTGTAAACTATTACTCTTTTATATTTGAGTTTAACTGGTTAGTGTACAATGTGAATATTCTCTAAACCAATGAGCTTTCAGGCTTTTATCTATTATCAACATGTGTAGAGTATGGCTAGAAATGAGGATTGGGGACACCATCAATAGGGCACCAGATATCTGGGTGACAAATAAGAGATGAATAATAAACAAAAAACAAATTTTTTGTCTATTATTATGAAAAAAAACAAACAAAAACAAATTTTTTGTTTTTTTTTCATAAAATTCTTTTCTATTGATCTACTACCTGGTAAATTTAAATAATTTTTAAGAAACAACTTAATTGTTTCTTAAAAATGTTTCTTAAAAACTATTATTTAAATTTGAGTTAAAAGAATGATTTTGTAATTAACAAACACATTTTATACATTTCATATTTATTTTTAAAAGTAAATAGAAAAGTCTCAAAGAACAGTTGATATCTATTTTATAAAATTAACAAATATATGTTATAAAACAAAGACAACAATAAATAAAAATAAAAATACATTACATTATACATTAAATACAATATAAATTAAAATGAAAAAAGTATAAACATTTTTCAGAAGAATTTGTTTTTGAAGAACTGCTTTTCTTTGATGTGATTTCTTAACTGTTCTGACAAAATAATTAACAATAGTACAGTATGTTATTCCAAGACATTTCTTTTTCGTAAGTTGGAAATAATTTGTAACTCTTACTTGTTAGTTTGTAACTTATAACTCATAAGTCTTAACCATATTTATATTTATATATATTTTACCAATATTTACAAAAAATGAATAAATAATATCTGCCAAACTAATTTGTTATTTAAAAGATAGATATGCTTTACTATATTCATTTTTTATAATATTGAAATTAATTTTAAAAATATTATTTCAGCAAAGTACAGAAGGTGTCACTCCACTTAATCAAACCAACTCTTTGGAGGAACAAACCCCAGATAGTTCAGATGATTTTGATTCTACTGTTAAATCTGATTCTCAGACAGCTTCTCCATCAAGTGGGTCAACTTCAAGTTCACTGAATTCAACTTCAGTTTCCCAAACACTGAGTCCACATCCCCAATCATCATCACCATTAACATCTATATCTCCCTCAACTGTTTCTAATAGTGCATCACCATTAACAACTTCTGTAGCACTGACCCATAATATTCCTTCTACTATGTCAAATTCATTATCGATGAATTTTTCTGATCATTCTCTTTCAAATTACACACATGAAATTACTCATACAACATCAGCCGGATCAACATCAACTTCCAGCTCTACAAATCACACTTTATCTTCACAAACAATGAATTCAATTCCACAATCTACTGTATCATCAACAAATGTCAATAACATATCATTGCCATCTATGGCAAATTCTATGGCATTGACACATGAAATCCCTTCAGCTCAAACTTCTTCTTTAGGAATGAATTATACTGATCATTCACTTCCAAATTATGCTCATTCTGATGGAATGTCTAATTTTAATCAGTCTCACACTCAGCAAGCAATGTCTTCATCATATTTATCTAACACTGGTACTCCTTATAATCAAGTCCCTCTTCCAGGACATTACAACTGGACCTAAATCATTTAAGTATAAAATTAATTTGATTTCAATATGCTATCTGATAAAGAGATAGATATCTGTGATGAATTTGGTTGATAGGTGATTTTTTAAATTTTAAAGTATTTTATTGGTTTTACATTCATTTATTAGAGTATAATAATTATGAATTTTGAAAATTGTTATGTAATTAATAAGATAATTCTTCAAAACTATATTGTTACAAGTACATGTCATGTTAATTTTTGTATTTATACAAACAAACAAACAAACACACACGCACACACACACACACACACAATTAAAATTTTAATATTACATATGTAATAAGTATAAAAATAATTTTACATAAATACATTTTAATGTAATTAATTTAACAAAGTGTTGGAATAATCATATTATAATTGAAAATATGATTAAAAGGAATGTTTTACTGGTTTTATTTGTATAATTAACAAGAAAACTTGAAATTAACACTTTCTTGTTTATTTATATATTTTTAACAAATGTTCATGAATTTCTTCCTTAAATTTATACACTTAAACCCCTTTTTTAATACTCTTATAAAAGTAATTTTCATATGTGCTTTTCTGATTTTCTTATAGAAACATAAGATTTTAGATTTATTATAAATACTATAGATTAGAGTATCCAAAAATGTAGTAAAAGGATTTATGAACATCGTTTAAAGTAAATAATCAGGTTAAAAACAAAATGAAGAAAAAATGTTGAATTAGAAAAGTATATATTTCTGTAATAATGTCAGATTAATTGAATGTATTTAACAATAATCTATAGGATAAATTTCACAGAAGAAATGCATTAGTATCAAGCTGAAAAAACACTTGAATGAAGAAATTTTGTTTGAAAATGTTATATGAAGTATAAGCATTTATATTCAAAAAATAAATTTTGCATCACACATCTGAAAATCTGCATTTTTGTAAGACTCTTCTCTTAATCTCTTAATTAATACATATACAAATAAAAGTAGTGAATTAAGAAAATGTGAATGTGCATAAATTTAAATAAATATTTACTGGAAAATCCAAAAATAATATATAAACTGAACTTTTATTTGTTGAAAATTTTTAATATGACTAAATTCAAAGGTACTAATATCATCTGAATTTAATCTTAATTATTTCCATGGGCTAAATTCTGACTAGATATGTCTTGTCTTAATACAGTTTTCATTAAACTGATATTTAAATATTTAGGATATCAGCTAGTCCCAGTTGTATTTCAGTTGTTGTTTAGGATCATCAGAGTTTATGATTTTGGCTAATTGCATAAACATCTGAAAATATAATACCAGAATATCCTGCATACAATTTTAATTTCAGAAATTTTAATGTTTTTAAACCATTAAACATAATTATTTAAAGTAATTAAAATATTGTCAAATGATACAGTATTGTATTCAGCAATAACTGAGTTTAAATCACATATATAGTAACTGGTTGACTGGTATTTGTAACAATATAGTAAAATTTTACTTTATTTCTCAGTACTAATAATTTTATATTTATAAAGAGGAGGATGATCATATTTTCTTATAATCTAAATGTCTTTACAATCTAAATACTTAAAATGAGTCACATAATGGTTAAACTTCATCTATAGCAGTATTGAAGTGTTTATATATGCAGTTCATCATCAATATTTTAATAACATAATTAAGGCCTGGATTTTTTGGTTTCAAAAATATATATATATATATTGAAACATTCAAAACAAAAAACATTGAAATTAAATTATTCAACTTTTTAAGATGAATATTAAGATGAATAAATTGTAGTATCATTAAAAATGTATTCTAAATGAAAATATGACAATAATTCTGTAATATTCAATAAGCAATAATGATATATATATTTTAAAATTTTATTTTAGTTCATTTGGTCATTAAACCGAAAGTAAAATTATTTTCAACATTAAGAATTCTTGTATTAAAATGACTAATTGATATATTTTTCTTATATTACAAGTGAATGCAACTAGTTTACTAATAAATAACCCTTTTCCAAGTATTATATTAGAAAATGGCAATGAAACAAATTTAAATTCAAGTATTTTTGTTGATTTTAAAATCAATAATTCAACTAAATAAAGATGGAATACTGCCAAGTGTTGAAATAGAAACACACCTTGTGTTAGTGAATCAAAAAAAAAAAATCAATAAGTAAATTAAAACAGAATAAACAAGATTTAAGTAAAATTAAAAACATTAGAATGTTTAAAGGATTTAACTAATATGAGTAAACACTGTTTATATAGTGCAAGGTTTGGTTTTTCCATCTTTTAACAAGCATCTTTCAAGTTGTTCAAATCCTCCAAATGCTGTAATTACCTTAATTTTAAATGTTACTCTTTAATGATATTAAAACGAACAAAAATACTGTAATTTTGTTTTTCTACTTTAATATACTTTTAATAATAGTTGGAAAATAATTATATAGTATCTTATGTGCACCCAGTGACTACATTTTCATTGACAAATGAACACATTTAATTTGAAGTAGTTTAGTAAATTCATTTTATTTTGTTCAATTGTAAATAAGCATCCTTAGGGATTTTTAAAATTTATAAAATTATTTTTTAGCGATATTTTTTTAAAGTTTGAAAGTTTCAATAAAGTAAAATAATTTAAATTAATTTTAAAAAAATAGTTTAAATTAATTTAAACAGAAGTTTAAATTATATTTATATCAGTATAAAAAATTGATTAAAAAAATCAAGAAATTGAAAAATAGCAATAAAAAAGGAATCTGTAGTCAAGATAATTAAATTAAAATTGTCCTAAATACATTTTTAATGACATACCAAAATATAAATAATTGTAATTAAACTAAATTAAAATTTGATACAAAAATGTTTAAAGTAAATAGAGATGAAATTAAATGGTTATAATATCAAGGTTGTTTTATATATTTTATCTTTTAGTATATAAAAATATTTTTAAACATACTTTTGCATACATTTTCACAGAAAATATATGTGTCTTAGATTATGATGATGATGATAATTTTATTTAAAATGTTATTAATTTAATCAGCTAAACTATTTCATAATTAAATATGTATAGAGATTAAACACTTTTTCTAGGGATTTTAAAATGTGAAAATTTTCTTAAATTATATTTATATTAAATTCAAAATTTCTCTGATAGTAATAAATTAATTTTAATCGTTTGAAATAATTGGAATAAAAAACCTTTATTAAAATTTTATTTCCAATTTTAAGTAAAAATATATTTTGCAAATTGATTTAGTTAGAGAAAATAACATATGTTTTTAACTGTATTATATATATTTAGAAAGTTGATGAGAAATTTAATTTGCAAATTGTTGGTTTTTCAAGTTATTTTTGGTTTCTTTAATTATACAGTTCATTTTAGTATATATTTTCATACAAAATTAGTTTATACAGGTAACCCCCGTATGACATGGGAGTTACATTCCAGAAAATTGCCATGTTATGCAAATCAGTGTTATACGAAACAAAGAACTAGTGCAAAAAGAGGGGTTAGGTTCCAAAAATTAAAAAACATGTTGTTAAATCCTTATTTAAATCAGATTTATTATTCATTTTTTTCTTAGGTAAAATGCTTATTTATTATTTAAGTAAATATTTTATTAGAGGATTATTCATTTTATATGATGATCTCAGCATGAGCATCATCAACTGGTAACAGTTTTTGGGTTCGTTTTGTGGGTGGTTAATAGCGGTTGCTCTGCAATGGGAGTGCGCTGCTGTTTGTAGGCATTTAGGAATGACGGTGAAAGAAAGATGGTGGCGCCCACACTATCAATAGTATCATGTGGAGGAATCTATAATTCTAAAATGAGCTTTTAGAGACAAAAGAAGGGTCCCAATTGTAAAATTTAACCATTAAATGGATTATTTGTTGAAAGAGCATTCAAAGTAGCCACAAAAACAATTAGAATGCCCATGAAGAGCTACACAGAGGTATAAAAGAACTCGCTCTTTATTACATTTTATGTTGTACGAGGGTTTTACCCAATTCCCAAACAGTGTTAGAGTGAATCTGTGCTATAGAAATGCCATGTTATATGGGGGTTACCTGTAATACTATTTTTTTAAAAGAAAAAAACTTGTTCGTAATGAATTGTATTTGAATGAAAAATTGAGATTTGACTTCCGAACCTAAGAAATTAAAAACTTTCAAAATCAAGAAACTTTTCTGATTAACAATTTCTGGAATTGCTCAGATTCTAAAATTTATTTTTTAAGTATGGAATTTGTTTTTAAAATATAAAATTTTATTTTCTAAAGTAAGAAGATCAATTGCCAGTTTAAGAACAATTTAACATTTTTAATAATACTCTCTTACAAATCAGCCAAATATCTGTTATATTGAAGCTTTTACTAAATAAATATACAATACTTTAGTAGAAATTCCAATAAAAACAGATGTTCATTTGTTCATTTGTAATAATAATTTGGTTTAAGTGTAAATTATGAGAAACCTTCTCACTTCAAAGAATTGATTATATGAAAGTAAATTCATATAATTAAGCTTAGTTTACTTATCAAATTATCAAAGTGATCTTTAAATAACCTTTATAACTTTTTAAATTAATTTTAGCAAGAGATCTATTTTTTCAATTAAATTTTGTTGTAAAAATGGGTAGAGTTTAGTACCACATTGCTAACGAAAACTGAACAGATTACTTAGTCTCTTTTAAGGAAGTTAAAAAGATATTTCTTTAATTAGAAACCCTTTTTCAGTTTGCAAATGAATCAAACAATATGGAACAAAAAATATATATATATATGTTTAACACACTAAATTTTTCTTCTACATTATTCAATTCAATTGTAAGTTGAAAATGGCCAGACTAATAGTTGAAAATGTTTCTAACCAAAGAAAAATCTTTTTGGTTTCCTTAACTAAGCAATATGCTAAATTTTGTTATTGTTATTGTCAGTTTGAAAATTTGATGTAAAGTTGCAATTATTTAATGTTCTTGAAATCTACTGATATAATTTAAAAT